CAAAACCTTCAAAAAGAAAAAAGAACGAAAGAAAGAAAAGAAAATGCAAGCTCCACTTGAATGTGATGTCAGGACACCAAAAGTACAGCAATGGACAGAGATGACCTGTTTAAACCATTCATTATGTTTGTGAAGAAAAGAAGAGTGAAAATTAATATCTAAATTCCAAAGATTGCATACCTAGATTTGCTGTTTGAAGTAGAGCCTCTACTCCTTGGAACAGTGTCCGCCTTTTTTGGTTTTGGAGATGACGAAGCTGTAAGTGATGAAGTGGGCTTTGTCTGCCTCAGATACAATTAAAGTCAATGAGAAGCTTGTATGGCACAGGAGATGCATTGAAAACTATTGAACAATTCATACCTGAAGCATTGCTGCATCTATAGATGGTACTGGTGCTGAAGCTTCACAAATGCATAAAGGCATACCACATTTGCAATCTGGAATGCCTGTAGCAGGTTGGGGCTGTGTAACTGGTTCAGTTTTTAAATCAGTATCAGCACCAATGTCTAATCTAGAGATGTTATCTGTTACAGATTCAACTCCATCTAAAAAAGCCTGTGGATCAGTCTTCCCAGATCTGAGCCAAAAAAAAAAATCAAGTTGAAAAAATTACATTATTTCTACAGAAGTAACAAAAAATTGTCAAGACAGGAAGAATGAGTGTAAAACATGAATCTAAAATAAAGACTATTTATTTATCGACTCTCCAACAGTCTGGATAATTACCATATGCACGGGAAGTCATGTTATATTTCACCCTCTTTAATTCTTCATTCAACCACATACAATTTTTGGCCAATAAAAAGTTTCCTCCATTACCAGGAAAGAAAATTAATTGATAACATTCAAATACAAGCTATACATTAAGAGTGATTTACCGGGAAGAGTTGTTGAAACAATCAGCACAAACTCTAACAGGCGAGTATATCCCAAATTCTGGTAAAGCCTGAATTTACACACAGAACAAGAAAAGACAAAAAAAAAAAGAAAAAAGAAAATTGGGTTTCCACAAATCTACAACAAAGTGAATTTCAAACAAACATATAAATTATGGAGGTAAGAACATAAACCATTTGATTTGAAGAATGTTCATGGCATAATGTCCTCCCACAACATCGGCAATGATGCTGCAAAATGGAGATGTTGAAGAGTAAGAAATAATTACTATACCCATTCATACCACCATAAACCAATCAGTCTAATACCAAATAGATTCACTAACATGTTTTATTGAAAATGAAAAAGACATACCAAAACTTCCTAAATTTTCCCCTTTTTAAAAGAAATATTGCCATCAGTAGATCAACTTTGCCCCATGTATTCCTTAATAAAGTAAGTTAGAAAATTACGAATCACAGTACTTGTATTAAGAGTCACAAAAGTTCAACCTGAACTAACATCTGTAAACAAGGCGCCCAGTATGCATTCGGTTTGATCTTTCACTGACGATTGCACCTAACCTAATGAATTCAAGAGGTCCAATTCCATTCATAAAACCTTAGATGAGCATATTTTAGTGATAAACCGAATTAGATTCAGAAAACTCCTCTGATTACATTAGGCTGCCTAAATCGATCGATGCAAACAACTTAGATCAAGGCATATTCCCGATCAAATTTATGAAATCTCGTCATCATCAATCTAATTTATCCGGAATTAATAAATGAAAAGGAAGAAGAAAAATAGAATTGAGTAATGGAAAGGAGGAACGCACCCGGCGCCGGAAAGTGTTGAAGCTGCATTTGCAAACGTCGCAGCGAGCTGCCTCTTGGAAAGGCGGAGGTTCCAGTGGCATTTCCGGTTTTCTATTCCGGTAAGGGCAGTTTCGCGTTCTCCTCTGGCGAAACGGTGATAAATCTGATTTTTTTTTTTTTTTTAAGGATAAAACTCTCCGTAAATTTTTTTTCCCTTTAGAAATGAATAAAATAGGAAAAAAAAATTAGTTTACATATTTTACCCAACATTAAACGGAAGAAAAATCTTTAACGCATGCCAAAAAATAGAGGGGAGAATATTGTAAAATTTGTATTGATATAATTGGGCCTTCTTTCCTAATTATCTGGATCAGTTATCTTCATAGCAGTAGTATTATTCAATCTGGGCTTATAATAGCAAAAGCCCATTACGACACAAGACACTGAGACAGCCTCGAGATTCGTGCTCCCCGTCTGAAAACGCACAGAATGAAAGAGAACGTAATTAACGGCATTTTTGTCTTTAGTTTACTGAACACAGGGTTAGTATAATTTGTGTTTGATTAATAGTGTAATAAATACTAACTCAGTTCCACTTTATTAGAGGATTTAGGAAAAGATTTTTTTTTTATTTTATCTTACATTTTTAGTATATCAAT